TTTTTTTTAATATGCTTACCTTTCTGAAATCTTAAAAAAAAAGTAAACCATCCTATTGAATAAAGCGAATTCTTGATTAAAGAAAATTATAGAGTTAGATTCAACACAACTTGCAAAAAGATTCCCTATGCGATAAATAAACTGTAAAGAGATAAAAAATTTAGTTTTAAACCAATTTAAAAGATGAAAGATTTTAAAATCAAAAGTAGGATAACCTCTTTTTAGGAAATAGAGATTGAGAATCAAAAACATCAGTTTCCTTCCTTTTGACCTATTTTAGAGAAGTCAAACACAACTTACCAAAGATTTCAAGAAATAGCAGGAAGTAGATTTTTTCATTTTTGAAAAAGTATATGTGTGTGTTGATTCATAGAAACTTTCACAAAAATGAAAATTTAAAGAATAACAAAACAAAACACAAAATAAAAATGAAAAATATAAAAAATAAAAACACACACAAAAACACGAAAGGCTTTTAACCATTATCTCCTCCTAGTCTGATGATTCAGAACCAGATCTGCCCATGAGATTTTTTGCCTTTCATTATTTCCCAGTTTAAATTTTGCTTTGCCTTGCCCTTTTCTTTCGTAGGTAGAATTTTTAAATTAGAGCACTGATTTTTTATATGTCCAGGTTTCCTACATCGAAAGCAAATAACGTTAGAAGGAATATGAACATCCTTACCATTTTACCTTTTTTCCACTTTGTTTTTTTTGCGTGGAGCTTATTGATTTGCTTGACAAGTCATTACATTCGTTACCACTAAGCTATCTTTTTATATCTTCATCTTTTAGAACAATCGTTTTCTCCTGCATCTTAAAGTCTTTGACCCAAACCTTGCTTGTTAAGGAATGAGTTAGCCAATCAAATATCAATAGAATATTCATTTTAAATTTTTGATTCACAAATAGCAACTACTTAGCATGTGAGACCCTTATGCCACCACGTAGACAATGAAGAATTTTGTTAACTTTTTAAAAAATTTGAAAATTCTTTTCCTAAAGCATGCAATGATGTTACAATTTGAATGAATCTGGTATACATGTCTAAGATCGTCTCATAGGGTTTCATGAAAAACAATTCAAAATCATGCATTAACATATTCAACTTGGATTACTTGATTTCACTAGTGCCTTCGTATATGGTGTGTAGTTTATCCCAAACTTCATTACTAGTAGTGCACGTGGATACTAACATAAAATCTTCAGAATTTAAAGCACAGAAAAAGAAATTTCAAGATTTTGCATTCAATTGAACATTTACTTACTCTTCCCTATTCCATTGATTGAAAGGAATATCCGTTTTAACTCCATTAACAATACGTGATGGTGATGAATAACCAGTTAAAATCGTATGCCACATGAGAAAATCAATCGATTGCAAGAAAGTAGTCATGCAAATTTTCCAAAAAATTAAAAGGAATAT